AAAAAAAATTCAGACTAAATGATAACAATAAAGAAGTAAGCATACACTAGTTCTTGCTTCTTCATTTTGATTGCTATCATTGTTCGCAGTTTGGTTAGATCCATCGGAAGCACTAGTCACCGTCTGACTAGGATTGTCTTGTTCTTCGGCTAACTCCACCTTCACCGACAATGAAGGAACCGCCACCGCCTCTTAACATGCCACAATAAGTAAGATCAATTTTTATAAGAGGCCCACCAATGATGTTTCCATCGTTCGAAACAAATGGCGACTGGGCGCTCGATGCTTGACTTTCGTGATCCTGGGTATTTGAGACAAGGTCATTCGGAGATGGGAGCTCAACACCTTCATGTGATTCGATGCCATGCAGAAACTCCTCATAGCATGCCGCGGATGCTTTTGGCATATCACGTAACGAAGTTCTAAAAGTAGAAAAACGGCAAAAACACTGTCCAAGATTCTTAGTAACCTTCCTTCAAAAAAACCTACGTCCTTAGCCTGTATCCTCTGAACTGGTTGGAAGAATCCATTGATGCCGTCACCGCAACGTCATGAGCACCAGGTGAACAAGTACACATCGGCGTGGATAAATCCCATTGCCGAACACAATCTGCACGATGAAGAGTTCATAACTCTCACAAAAGGAAAAAAGCTTGCAAACTGAAAAACTCACTGCTTACGTCCTCATTTAGAAATTCTGGCTTGGAGCATGGTTTGAATTCATACGCTCCGAATCCAAGTGCTTCCTAGCAATTAGAGATGAATAAGGAAAAAAGCAGCAAAATGAGGCTTACAGGAGCTTACCTCCAATTGCCACGCCTGCTCACCTAACACGATAGAGATTGCTTCACGGAAAATTTTGAAGAGACCCATTTCTTCTAACATCATATCAAGAGCACTGAAAGTATCATATACATAAAGAGAAAGATCAACAGAGTTATTAAGAAGCAGAGTTGAAATTGTCATACTCTTTGTTCTGATGTCGTGCCTTCATGCACCCGTTGTTATTTTGGAATATTGACCGAAATTGGGATCGCTTTACAAAGCTGTGAAATGGGTCGTAGCGTCTTACCTGCTAACCTATACCGCCAAACACTTCCTCCAACCTTGGCCAGCCTAGGCTCTGCCAGGGCGCAGAAGAATGAAGCCCATGTACGCAAAAACGAACCAATCTTATTCCACTGTTATGTCAGTTGCTCTGCACACACAAACGCTGCGGACGCCACTGAGTATGGCCCAGTGCGCTGGACTTCTTTCATGAGCGGCGACAGCTCCCATAACGATAAGAGAGGAGAGACCAGATTTTGACAAGCGTTCATTTCTGTTATTTGTGGCCGGATCTCTGGCAGATCACGGTTTTAGTGTTGAGCAACTGACATAACGGTGAAGTAAGGTTGATTCATATTTGATTATCAACATGGGCATCCCTTTGCATTTTGACAATGCTTAGACCAAAGCTGTGACGAGTCAGTAAAAACAGTGTTCAGTAAGTAGTACAATAACAACGTGGAATGCACAAAGAAGATACAACACGAACTCAGAGCTGAAATATACCTGAGCTCTACGACATCATTGTGAGCATCAAGGACATGTTTTATAGCAGCGGAGACGCTCTTGAAGCGAAGGCCATCCATTTTGCAAGCAGTCTTCCATTTCATGCTTTCTGCCAACAGTGTCAGCTGCAATTCTAACATAGAATAAGATTTTACCACTAACTCGGTCAGCAAAATATGGCATTTCCATACCCTGCAGGCATTGTAACTGAATTGCTGCAGAACCCTTTAGAAACAGAAAAACCAACAAAAGAGGAAAAATGATTTCGCACGGTTATACTGTTTTTAACAAGCGCATTTGCACATGTTGAAAATGAACTAGTCGATTCGATGGCTCTCGTGGTACACAACTTTGAGAACGGCGTGGAAATAGGCATAATATACCGGAGGTTATATATGAGAAAGATTGGAATGTGTCTATAAAGTATTCACGTAGTTTATTCTGCGAAAATGAGCTTTAATAAAAGGTACAAAAGTATTTTCACACTTCCCGGTTGAGGCTAAGTACTAGATCGGCAACGACTTCCGTAGTGCCCCCGCTTTGGATACCCTTTCATCAGTAGTTCCCAAGAAAGCTGGTAAAAACTGACAAAAGTTATGCAATAGTATCTAAAATATGTTGATAAAAATTTTTAATTTAGATAATGAACTCTAATATGTTAAGTGATGAATAGAGAGGATGCGTAACCATTGCCCTACACGGTCCATATTATGTCAGATTTATTCCCGCTTGTCTGTGAAATTGTCAACAGGTCATATATTCTGCACTTCATGAATAAGTGGAAGATGAACTCCTGTAATCCATATTTGCGTGATACAAAGGGTCTACAACACAAGCTATAAAACTATAAATATGTTTTGATCCTATCCATTATTCTTCACAGTTTGGCTTAACTGATTAACTCCGTCTTTGAAAGTAATGTAATCAGAGCAGTTTCTATATATTCGAAGAATTACATAAGGGTGTTAAACAAAATATATCTTGATATACTAGATGATAAGCTAACCGCAACCGTAGCTGTCGCGGACGCGTACACTGCGTGTGGACGGGGCTGTGTGCTGAGATGTATGTTGAGCGATTTACGATAGTCACTGAGGACACGCCTGCTTTGCGCTCTATATTACATTTGTACTACCTTCCAATGAAAAAATGTAAAAGCTATTTATTTTGTTTCAGAAGCATAGCGAGATAGAACTACTTGAAGATATAATGCAAGTCAGAAAATTCTGCACAAGCTTTTGTTGCTCATATATATCATCTAGCTGATATATTGTTGAAACTGCATTCTTTTTTTCCTTGAAAATATCCAAGCTTATTGAAATGCTTTTTATTGTGTTATTAGCATGTATATATAAGGATAGCCGGGAGAGCCCCACTCTACCGCCTCCCTGAGGACAGGTAACTGACAAGAATATGCGCGCGCGATTGTTGGCAGCTGTCATTAGATTTCAAATGGCCGATCCTTATAACGCCTATAAGCGCAGTAAGAAGCGGTCGATCGAGGGTGCGCCACGGTTAAGTTGCGGCGCCGTTGTTAAATACCATCTTGCATGAAGTTCGGTACTCATTTTTCCGACACACTTGCTGCCGTTTCTGGAGATTTTAACACAACCTAACGAAAAAAAGCAAGTCAAAGTCTGAAGAAGAAAGCGCGGAAGAGTTGGAATAGAGCAAGATTACGAAGCGGTACTCAACAGGGAGGCGCAAAGTGACCGCCACGCCTTTCATCGGCCGATTCTTATTCCGCTTATAAGCGTTATAGGGAGCCCATCTAATCGACCGATCCTTATGAGTGGATACACCCTCAGTTTTGACGTCGCTGTCCAGCCAGATA